TTTTTGACAAAGGAACAAGGGGAAAATAATCTGTTTTAAAAGCTCTGTTATCAATCACACAAACTGCCAACTAATTCTTATAATGCACCAAATAGCCAAAAGTGCTGAGTGTCTTTTGTAGTGATGGCTTTAATAGCCAAGATTTAGGGCAAAAGATACAGTTTGAAGGTCCTGCAGGTCTAACCAAAGGTAAGCTACAGTGTCCATATAACTTACAAATTCACTACTTAGGCAGCAAATCAATTTTTTGTTTTGCTTTGCTTTGATTTTTTTTTTGCACAAAACCTCATGAAACCTCAGAAAGAAACAAAGGCAATAGAATTCACAGCTTCTTTTAAAGGAGATGGCCTCATGCCATTGCTAGTCTTTATGGGAAAGACAAACATTAGCTTATTCTAGAGAATGACTGTGCTTGGCTATCTATCCTCTTTTTATGGAGGCACCGTCCTAGTGCCCAGTGTGTCAAAGAATTGGGAAAGGTATTTACCCAGAGCGTCCAGAGGCAAAGTAGCTGGAGATGGCTTCTGAATATCAGTCAAGGCCATAGCTTGGAAAGAGGACCTGACTGTTAGGCCTTAAAGATGAACACAGCCATCAACAGGAAAAAGAGCAATAGGTTAAAAGATTGGAGGATTGGGACCAGGTGGGATGCAATGTGCTGAGTGGGCCTGGGGAAGAGGGTCAGAACCAGCTGACTCTGGGTACTTGAGGTCCAGGTTGATGAACCAGGGATACAAGCTCTGGCAGAGCTGAATGCCATGGGCATTTGCTCCTAGAAATATTCCTTCTTCACATCTTGGGACACTGGCAAGATGCATGGACAAGACGCAGCCACCGCAACATCGCCCACTCACCGCCGCAGGTGTCACTTCACTACAGAACCAGTGGAGGCCCCCTTGTGAGTCCTGGTGGCCTCTGGAATTAAAACAAAAATTTGCCTAATACTCACAAGTGACATTTTGCCTTTTTTGGGGTTACTTTCTCTCTGAAGGATAAATATTCCATCAAACACGTTTTGACCATTTTTTCCAGTTTCCTGTTTTCTGTAAACACTATGATAGCCGTGTAGTAGCCAGATATGGATTAAGATAGTTCTGAAATTTAGGGTAACAAAATAGGACATCTCAAAATCAGTCATATTCTGAAGTAATAGCCTATTTTTGGTGATGATTTTTTTATGGTGACATCTCTAGGCTAATAACATACTTTTTATATTAAAGCAGAATCTCTGGGGAAAGCTGAACATTCACATTGTATACAGACCAATACAGCCCTTGGCCTTGAAGTTCCCAAGGAACAGGGGAAACACGAGTCCATATGATGATGATGAAGCAGGAACTTGGGAGTTTAAGGGTGCTGTATGTGGGGTTGTGGCCTAGGTGTGCCTGGTCACTTAATAAGGTCCGGTAAGGTGAGAGACAGTTAAGAGAGCTAAACTGCTGTCATCTGGGAGGGATGGAGCATTCTGCTAGCACTGAAGGAAGGATGAGTCCTAATATACAAGCTCTTCAGTCTGCAGTGACCACCACAGTATTCATGTTTCCCAAAAAATGAGTGGAGTGAGCTTTGGCAATTTTAGGCATGGTCATAACAAGATATCCAAGTAGGTCATTGCTTTCTAAGAGGTCCGTGAGCAGGTAGTCAGCCCCTATACAAGATGGGGCTCAAGGATTATGTGTGATCAATCTCAGAATCTCTAGGGAGTGTTTGTGAATGAACTGGATGATGGGCAGGGGAAATGGTACATAGCAGGCCATGCCCCCCGTCATAGGTTGGGAATGAGATGCTAGACATATCATTGGAACAGAAGCTGGTTACAGGGGACAAAGGGTGGCATTTTAATGCCTCAATATTGGGACACTCTGTGGGGTCTACAGCTCAAGAAGAGATGGAGCCCAGACACCCAACAGGAGGAACTCAACAGATTCAAATGTGCAGCCTAAGGGCTCATAAACAGCTAAATCCAGGAGCACATTGCATCTATGAGTCACTTTCTCTTTTCAAACATTCTTTCCAACAAATATCATCGCCCAGCAAACAGATGCATGATGTAATGTTTTCAGAAAATTTCTTTCCCAGGCATCAGTTTTGTTCTGAATTCCACACCCTCCCCAGACTCTCCCAATAATGCTTGGGAAGAACAATGAGCCCTGAATTTTTGACAAAGGAACAAGGGGAAAATAATCTGTTTTAAAAGCTCTGTTATCAATCACACAAACTGCCAACTAATTCTTATAATGCACCAAATAGCCAAAAGTGCTGAGTGTCTTTTGTAGTGATGGCTTTAATAGCCAAGATTTAGGGCAAAAGATACAGTTTGAAGGTCCTGCAGGTCTAACCAAAGGTAAGCTACAGTGTCCATATAACTTACAAATTCACTACTTAGGCAGCAAATCAATTTTTTGTTTTGCTTTGCTTTGATTTTTTTTTTGCACAAAACCTCATGAAACCTCAGAAAGAAACAAAGGCAATAGAATTCACAGCTTCTTTTAAAGGAGATGGCCTCATGCCATTGCTAGTCTTTATGGGAAAGACAAACATTAGCTTATTCTAGAGAATGACTGTGCTTGGCTATCTATCCTCTTTTTATGGAGGCACCGTCCTAGTGCCCAGTGTGTCAAAGAATTGGGAAAGGTATTTACCCAGAGCGTCCAGAGGCAAAGTAGCTGGAGATGGCTTCTGAATATCAGTCAAGGCCATAGCTTGGAAAGAGGACCTGACTGTTAGGCCTTAAAGATGAACACAGCCATCAACAGGAAAAAGAGCAATAGGTTAAAAGATTGGAGGATTGGGACCAGGTGGGATGCAATGTGCTGAGTGGGCCTGGGGAAGAGGGTCAGAACCAGCTGACTCTGGGTACTTGAGGTCCAGGTTGATGAACCAGGGATACAAGCTCTGGCAGAGCTGAATGCCATGGGCATTTGCTCCTAGAAATATTCCTTCTTCACATCTTGGGACACTGGCAAGATGCATGGACAAGACGCAGCCACCGCAACATCGCCCACTCACCGCCGCAGGTGTCACTTCACTACAGAACCAGTGGAGGCCCCCTTGTGAGTCCTGGTGGCCTCTGGAATTAAAACAAAAATTTGCCTAATACTCACAAGTGACATTTTGCCTTTTTTGGGGTTACTTTCTCTCTGAAGGATAAATATTCCATCAAACACGTTTTGACCATTTTTTCCAGTTTCCTGTTTTCTGTAAACACTATGATAGCCGTGTAGTAGCCAGATATGGATTAAGATAGTTCTGAAATTTAGGGTAACAAAATAGGACATCTCAAAATCAGTCATATTCTGAAGTAATAGCCTATTTTTGGTGATGATTTTTTTATGGTGACATCTCTAGGCTAATAACATACTTTTTATATTAAAGCAGAATCTCTGGGGAAAGCTGAACATTCACATTGTATACAGACCAATACAGCCCTTGGCCTTGAAGTTCCCAAGGAACAGGGGAAACACGAGTCCATATGTTGATGATGAAGCAGGAACTTGGGAGTTTAAGGGTGCTGTATGTGGGGTTGTGGCCTAGGTGTGCCTGGTCACTTAATAAGGTCCGGTAAGGTGAGAGACAGTTAAGAGAGCTAAACTGCTGTCATCTGGGAGGGATGGAGCATTCTGCTAGCACTGAAGGAAGGATGAGTCCTAATATACAAGCTCTTCAGTCTGCAGTGACCACCACAGTATTCATGTTTCCCAAAAAATGAGTGGAGTGAGCTTTGGCAATTTTAGGCATGGTCATAACAAGATATCCAAGTAGGTCATTGCTTTCTAAGAGGTCCGTGAGCAGGTAGTCAGCCCCTATACAAGATGGGGCTCAAGGATTATGTGTGATCAATCTCAGAATCTCTAGGGAGTGTTTGTGAATGAACTGGATGATGGGCAGGGGAAATGGTACATAGCAGGCCATGCCCCCCGTCATAGGTTGGGAATGAGATGCTAGACATATCATTGGAACAGAAGCTGGTTACAGGGGACAAAGGGTGGCATTTTAATGCCTCAATATTGGGACACTCTGTGGGGTCTACAGCTCAAGAAGAGATGGAGCCCAGACACCCAACAGGAGGAACTCAACAGATTCAAATGTGCAGCCTAAGGGCTCAATGCCAAGTCCCAAAGCTCCCGGGGTCCTCCAGCCAGGTGGCAGGTGGGCGTCACGAGGCTGCAGCTATTGGAAAAATGGCAGGGGCCCTGAGGCTAAGTAGACCCTCATCAGGGTTGGGGAGAAAGTTTCTGGTTGGTGCTGGAATGTATCTGTCTCTTTCTCTTTCACAACTCCTTTTCTTTGTCTCTTATTTTTCTCTCAATCAAAATTTCCAATCACCAAGACTGCTCTTATATTTTTTTTTCTGCTCGAAGAACCCAAAGACCCACAGGCTGAAGTTTTCCAAGGCTGTATATACAGGACTGATATCAGAAATATACCAGCACAGCCCTACGGATGGTTGAAATATGGAAATATTCTGCACTAGTCAGTAAACAGCTGCTATGCTGAGACCCCTGAGCACCCCTGCCAATATCCTGGCCACCCCAGCTTCTTCCCTGCAGCTTTTGGACTTCCCACGATCCAGCAATTAGAGGGGTAATCCCTGGCACAGCAGGTCTGGATCTGTTCTGGGAGAAAGGAGGGGTGTGCCACATAGGTTGTTACAGGTTTTGAAGAACATCCTTGGAAAGATAAAGCCAACCACAAGATCACCATCGGACGAGGGTGTGTGAGAGATGTTTGGTAAAATGCCAGCTCCCCAGTCTTCATTCTGCTGGCACCTTGAATCTCCAGACCAGTCCAGCCAGGGGCAAACCCTTGGACTCAGCATTGTCTGAACCGCCTCATGTACCGAGCCACCCCTTGTCCTTTCTGAGAGCTGCTTGTCACCCAAGAACTCCAAGAAAAACATATATGTGTCTTGGGCCAGAGTGTGTGTTGAATCAGGGACTAAATTCTGGAAAGCCAAGGGTTTTTTGTATGGAGCAACAAACCAAACACACGGTGGGAACTGCATTTTTATTTTGTTTCCTTTTCTCTGGTTATAGGCTCATTTTCACAGTGTGCTGCTCACCCACCCTTGCAGTTGGGCACATGGCTCTCTCAAGGTCAATCAGATCATCTCTCAAAGGAATGGGTAGTGCTAATAAAATTAATCTGATTTGGTGCCCCAGGAAATGCTGTGTCCCTCTTCCTAACATGCTCAGAGTTGCTCTGTTTCCTGTCTGATTGTTCAGTTCTACTTCTGATTTGCTGAGGGACCTCACTGCCCTCCTCATACAGCTCTTCCTTATTTCTGTTGCTCACACCCTGAGAATCCTGACCCAGACCCAGATAGCAAGAAAACGATATGCAGGAAAAAAGACATAAATGTACTCTCATTAAAAACCACATTGACAATTATTTTACACTCATATAGACACAGAGACCTGGAACAAGTCCATAGTTCTGTTAGTTGGATTTGAACTTCGGAGACTATGGAAATAAGCGTTTCTGCATCCAAAATACTGTCGGCTGAACATTCCTTAAATATAGTCACAACCCAAATTAGCTTGACTTCTATGCTGTGTTCCCATTGTCTTTTTGTCACTTCAGCAGAACCTTAGGAAAAGAACAAAAACTGGGTATTATTGATAGGCTGAATGTTGATAGACGGAGTCACAATGAGCCAGCCCGTGTCTGACATCCTTTCAGGGAACTCTAGTTATATAGTAATTCATTTCCTGCAGGCACAATTTACTTCAAGCTTTTCTCTTATCCTCAGAAGAATCTGGAGGTGACAAACACCTTCTGAGCTAACTCTAGGGGCTCAAATCAGGAAGAAAAAAAAATCTCAGGAATAGCAGTGGGAGAAATTAGGTAGGGTGAATAACGCTAGTTTACAAAACAGTAAATGCAGAAACCAGCGATTTAGGATGCTGATCATTTATTTTGACAGGTGTAGTTTATCTCTGCTCACTTATAATAATTATACATTGCAGAGACTCATTATCCTGCCCCCCTTCTGTCTCAGTGCTGAGAGCAGTTAAAAGTAAATTTGGCAAGTCTGTGGGGGGAGTGAGATAATGGGTGTTAATGACCAAATGGGAAATCTATGCTTTTACCGCTTACTGTGAGGGTGGCACATGGATTGTTCAAAGGGCGCTGTCACGCATGGAAATAACATTTCTAAACTTGATTTTTTTTCTTCTCCCATCATTGCTTCATTGGGATCAAATGCATTCAAAGACTCACTTTCCCTGTTACTCTCCCCTCTCCTAAGAACACAGAATCTTTGGGATTCAGAGTTCAGAATGTTATTGGTTTTTGGATGAGATCAATACAGACATTTTGGAAGATCTTGGGGTGTTTATGATTTTGGCCAGGGCATTTGAGGGGCAATATAACTTATTGATTAATCACAGGAACCCTGGCACCTGAGAGATTCCAAGCTCTCTTATTTGTTAAATGCATTACTGTTAACTTAGTTTTGCTATCAGTAACATGAGGGTAATGATAGTACCCACCACAAAGGTTTGTTAGGAGGATTTCATTAGTTAATATAAGTAAAAGTGCTTAGAATTGTGCTTGTCACATATTAAACACTTTGTATGTATTTATTATTATTGCTGTTCGAAAAAAGGGAGGTAATAACATTACCTTATAAACTATGCTGTAAGGATAAAATGATTCATATAGCACTCTTAATAGAGTAGCTATTTTTAGAATCCATTCTGATTTTGTAGTATTAAAATTCTGAGCTCAGAATTAAAACTGAAGCTTTGCAGTAGAAATACAGCATGTTGTACAGTTTTGCTCAACAAACGTACTTTTGAGTGTCTACTTTTGGCCAAGTCCTGTATCCTAACCCTCACAGAGGGAGGGGAAACACAAAAGCAAATATGTCACTAGAGCTAGAAAAGATGCCGAGAGACTCCCCCCAACCCACTCCACACAAAATTGAAGATGAAATACTGTAAATCACCTTTTTGGGGAAAGACTTGCTAAAAAGTCTGTTCTCAAAGACCCCTTAGAACAACCCAAATACATGGGTCTCTTTATGGTTCCACTGGAGCTCTTACCATAAACGAGGTCCTCGTCTCGCCACTGCGTAGAGTGGAAGAGCACACCGTTGCTCTCAGGTATATGCTCTGGTTCTGCTTCCATTTATTGACCCAGGACTGCCATTTGCCCCATATGGCACCTTTGTTCAAATTAGTAAATGGCACTCCTGTTTGGGGTCCTGGTGTGCAAACAGAGATAGCCTTTGAAACCAACATGGTTAAGAACCACCCCTGCTATAGGGAAGCTTTAAAATAAGGCAATTCATACATTTTTTTTAAAAAAAAGGAGGCAAGAAGTGAGTTTGTATGGGGAAAGGTTTAGCAAAGAGGCTAGATTTTGGAACTGTTGGTGTACTCTGGCCTCAGCCATGTGTGTGACACTTCTGGGAGCTCCACCTCCCTGGCAGCCCACTCAATAGCCGGTTGGCATCCCGCCACCCAAGGAGCACCAGGCCAGGAGGCTACATATGTGTCGTGAGGGCTTCTCACCGTCTCTTCCAGACCCACTGCCCCTCCGTCACGAAGCTACATCTTCAGAAGATAAAGTCCTTTTCCAAAGCAGTTCAAGTCCTCGCCCTGGTGAAGAGGTGGGGGCGACAAATAACAAATACTTACATAACATGTTGGTGGATGGTAAATACAATAGAAAAACATAGCAGGGGAAGGGGGAGAAACGGTGATGGCAGGTCTGTAAGAGGAAGCCGCTGTGATAGGCGGTGAACCCAGCGGGTGTCTGAGAGAGGAACCTTGTGCAAAGACTCCCAGCACAACATGTAGGAAGCAGTTGCATCCAACATGCCGGCCTCCATCCTTCACTTCCATACCCTTCTCAACTCAAGTAATTTATTCTCCCCACTGAATCTCAAGCATCACACAACTATATTTTAAATCTTGTCATTGGCAATAGCTGAACCATCTTGAAATCCTGCTTTAAGCAGCCTACCCTTTCTTTGATAACCACTTTCTGTTCTTCCAGCTCACTTGCCTACCACCCCTATCGCTTCCATACATTTCTAAACACGTGGGAAATGCCTACGATACTTACACAAAACTAGACAAGCTCTCCTTAGACTTGACATTCCATCTCAGGCCTAAGGTATTTCTTTGCCTTCCTTGAAAGCAAAACCTATGAAATCTTTGTCCACACTTACCTGCATTTAAATCTCTCTCTTATTCAACTTATTCCGTTTAGGTTCTCCCCCATCCGCCCAACCTCACTGCCCTGAAACTGTTCTTGTCAAGGTTACCGGTGATGTCCCAACAAATTCCATGGTCAATTGTTGACCTTTATCTCACTTGGCCTTTCAGGAGCATTTGGACATGTTGATCACTCCCTCCTTCTCGAAACTCTTTCTTTGCTTGGCTTCTGAGACACCCACTCCTGTTTTCCTTTGACCCCACTGGCTGCTCTTTCCCAACATCTTCATGGATTTTCCTCCTCTTCCTGACTCTGTGCGAGTTGCAGTGTCCCAGTACACAGTTCCGTTCACTCTCGTGTCCTCTGTGAATTCACCTAGCCCCGTACGATGAAATATTATCTATATTCTTAAGACTTCCAATATCTTTCTCCATTCTCACCTCTTCTCTGAGCCCCGCAATCGTACATCCAACTGTCTATTTTGGATTCACCTGAAGAAGGGAATGTCTAAATGGCAAAAGCAGATCTCTTGATGCTAGGTGCCAGTCCTCTTTTCTCTTGCCAGTTAAGTGGCACCAGCATGTACTCAGTTTCCCAGGCTCCAAACCCTAGGAGTTTGTGAACCCTCACTTTCCCTTGGCCTCAGATCCAATCCGATAGCAAATGCAAAATAGGTGATTTTTCCTGACTTCACCTGTTACCATACCAATCCAGGATCATCTTTTGTGGCATAGTAAAACAATCTCCTGATTGAGGTCCCCATTCCACTCCTGCCACCCACACTCAATTCTCCACACAACAGCTGGAATGATCTTTGAAAACCATAATTCGGTTGATGATGCTCTTTTTCTAAAAACCTATTCATGATTGCCCAGGGTACTCAGCATAAAATGCCAAACTTCTTATAGTGGCCTCCATGGGTTTTTATGATCAGCCCTGGTTTTCTCTCCATAATCACCTTCTACCATTTGGTGCCTGGAATGGTATTTTCTCATACTTCTGCGTTGCTCTCTCCTTCACCTCATCTAAATCTTGGCTCAAATGTTATCTCCCTAGACAGGTCTTCCTTGTCCATTGTTTGAAACACTACTTTCCACTGCTGTTATTCCCTTTATCTTGTTTATTTTTCTAAGCAGTATTTCTTCTGCAATGTTTTTATATATCTGTGCTTAAAAATTCAGTATAATTTATAGTATTAACAGAATGAAGAAAAGCCATATGAATATTTCAATAGATGCAAAAGCACATTTGACAAAAGTCAACACCTATCATGATAAAATTGCTCTGCAAACTGGGAATAGAAGGGAAACTTGCTCAATTTATTAAAGCATATCTATAAAAAATTTACATCATTATTAATAATGAAATACTGAATTCTTCTGTCAAGATCAAGAATAGGCAAGAATGTTCACTGTCACCACTCTATTTAGTATTTTACTGGGCATCTTAGCTTTTGAAATAAGGCAAGATAAAAAAATAGAAGATATAAGAATCAGAAAGGAAGAATTAAAACTGTCTTTGCTTGCAGATGTCACAATTATTTACATAGAAAAGTCTAAGGAATCTACAAAACAGCTACTGGAAATAGTAAGTGAATTTAAAAAGGTTGTGTAGTGCAACGTTAATATAAAAGAATCAACTGTGTTGTATATGTTGGCAAGAAATAATGGGAAAATGAAACAAAAACATTCTGTATACAACAGCTGTAAAAAACAATATGTTTAGAGCTACATATAACAAAGTCAAGATCTATACACTAAAAATTACAAAACATTGCTGAGAGAAATAACTAAATAAATAGAAATATATTCCATGACCAAGCCCTGGAAGGCTAAAACATATATATTTTTGTTTATATGTTTATTGCCTGCATCTCCCACTAGAATAAAAATTTTGAGAGCAGGAATTTTTTCCTGTTTCATTCCCTGATGTATCTGCAGTGCCTATTAACAGTATCTGGCACATAGTAGTAGTTGCTCATTAAATATTTGTTGAATGAATGACTATACTAGGCTCCAACGCAGTTTTGATTTTGCTCAGAGTCTCACAAAGTTCCTCACAAGAAACGGTTCTGTCTGTCTCATTCCTCTAGGCATAGGGACTAAAACTGGCTCCAGTGGCCTGCCAGATGCAGAATATCCCATCACAGTCTTCACCTCCTCTTTGTCTCTAGTCCCTAGACAGAACTCTAGCATCCACCACTAGTCTCTGAACAGAATATCCTGGAATAAATGGAATGCAGAGGCTCTTTGCCAACCAAAATACCTTATTAGAGGAGGCACTGTCTACCAAGGACAGAGAAGAATAGATCCGGGTCTTGCAACAGAGTTGGGTTGGGCTGGAAAGTTACCCTAAAACAATTAAGGAGCCAGAAATCTGGCCACAAAGAGGGAAGTAATTATGTATGGATCAGAACTGAGAAACAAAAAAACCAAAGAAAAAGTCAGAAGCTGGCTAGACTCTGGAGGAAGGGAGAACACAGGACAATTGTGAAAACCAATCTTGTCCCTCTCCTGGGGAGCAGCGCATGGCTCATCTATGGCGGCTTGGAAACCCCAAAGGATCTGAAGTCAGATGTGGGTTGAAAGCCCATTTGTATGCATGGGGAAGGCTCTTGCCTTCTCTGAGGCTCACTTTCCTTCTCTATACAGTAGGAATTTTAATACCTGCCATGTCTACCTTGCAGAATCACTTTGATGACCAAATGAGAGAAGTGCCATGGAGAGATTACGGTTATATGTTAGCCAAGACTGATAATCACTAAAATTCTGAAGAGTGCTCAAGTTTAAGTCTTTATGGTTCATTATTTAAATTGAAGTGAATTCCCATAATATAAGATCCTTCTATATTAAAATGTAAATATAAAAACCCATTTTGCTGCCAAATATGTTATTGCAGGGAAGACCATTCATGCTGTTGGTTGCCTGCAGTAATGAGCAGAGCTGCTAGTGATTATGCCTTCTTTCTATGTAGGTGAAAAACATCTCTTCCACACTTGGCCTTGTTTTCCAGCCACATAATCCCTTCCAGAGGCTTTTTATAAATTATCCAACACAAAAGCATCCAATAAATACAGAATTCCAACAAAGAAACATCCAATACCTGGGATAAAGAGAGAATTAACTCAAAATAATTACATAAATCTTCTGTTTAAAACTTCAACATCAGGTTTATATTTAGCTACAATACTAAATAGTTGGACCATGTTCAGCTTGTTTTTATACTGAAATCTCCCTGGTCAATTCAATTATGAAAAGTAAAGAGGTCCTCCTTATTTATAGGATAAAAAGCACAAAATGACTAGAAAGCATCATAAAAATTATACATTGTGCAGAAGTAGAATATTTAATAGTATTGAGTGCTTTGTTACTTATTACACAGGAGAACTGTAAGTAGGTCAAATCAGTGATAAGAAATGTCACACTACTCCAGGGCTTCACAGTTAGACATGAGTATCTCACAACATCTCTTGTCTTTTGCCTTGAACATTTGCTTCTCATCATTGCTTTTTCTTAGTGCATTTACCTGATTTTAGTTGGTCTGTGCCCTTGTCTATAATTGTAAAAGACTCTTCACCAATATGACTTCCCAGGAACTGGCAAGTTTTAAACCACTGTTTCTACTGAGCTGATATTAGATAGACAAGTAAGACTTCAGACTTATGAGTGAAAGGTAGAACATGTTTCTGACCTGTCTGGATTCTAAATGATCTTGAAACATGAGCCATATGGTCAAGGCCTCAAAACTAGGAAGCAGCCAAGCTAGAATTTTAGCTCAAGTCTGACTCTAAACATCGTTCTTTTCTACAGAAACAGCACTGTCTCTTGTGGGAAGAGTCACATAATGCTTATAAAGGAATGGATGGAAACTAGTGACAACCAGAAATATTACAAAAAAGCTATTTCATACAATGGTTTGAAATATTCCATCCCCATTTGATACAGGAATTTGTGATGGTCTTTGTGACCTATCACGTCAGTGACAAAAATAACCATTGGCCCAATTGCTTAGAGCTTGAAATAAATCAGAGAAAGGCAATCAATCAGTCAAATATTTTTCAAGTGTCTTCTGTTTGCTCAACACTTATTCTAGACTCTGTGGGAAATGATAGCTTGCACATCAAAGTTCTTTGGCAAGCATGAATTGAATGTGAAATAATATTATTAGACAAAAACTACGAGACAAAAAAATGAGGTGTTCCGGCTTCAAATAATTCAAATTTAATGTGGGGGGAGGGGTTTTTCAAATAACAATAGATCCTCATCATCATGAACAGCACAGAAATGTATTTAATTGGTGATAGATGAGGGACAGGCAAACTTTCTGTGAAGATCCACTTAGTAACTATCTTAGTCTTTGTTAGAAGGTCTCTGTTATAGCTACTCAACTCAGCTGTTGTAGTGTGAAAGCAGCCATAGACGACAAAGTAAAAGAATGA